ATTTCTACACTCCACTGTATCTTTTGTATCTTGTGTTTTTGCTGTTGTTTGGTTATGAGTATTAAAGTCCTAGTGTTGTACTTCGTGTTTTGAAGAACGTTGTTGCGAATGCACTTTTGCGCATGTTTTTTTACATGTATGTTTGTGCATGTCCATTTGAGCGAGTGTGTTTGTGCATGTTTGTTGATTTGTATTAATGTCCTAGGATTGTAGTTTGTGTTTTCATGATCCGTTTCGCGAATGCAGTTTTGCGTGAGTAATTTTGTGCATGATTTTGTACTTTTACTTATGTGCGTATCTTTTGTAGCGAGTGTTTTTGTTCACGTTTCTTGATGCGCATTCGTGTCCTCGAACTGTAGCGGGTATTTTCATGATCGCTGATGTTCGAGTCCGAATTTGGAAATTTGACATTAGGTAGGAATTGTAGCCAGCTGAAATAGCTTTCTAATGCCGCCGGAACCAGTCGATTTGGATTCCGGATGAGAAAGTTACGCTCGACTTCGTGGACACTACCGAAGATGTTGAGGGATCCTCTCTTCTATTTTGATTTTATTTTCCTAATTGCAACTCTTTTCTTACTCTTTGGTCATTTTTATCTTCAAGGACACCTAATTATCAATTTCTACCTATAGAATACTAAATCCACCAATGAAAACATAAATATAAATTAATTCATACAAAAATCGACGTAAACGTAAACGTTGAGTGTTATTTCTACACTCCACTGTATCTTTTGTATCTTGTGTTTTTGCTGTTGTTTGGTTATGCGTATTAAAGTCCTAGTGTTGTACTTCGTGTTTTTAAGAACGTTGTTGCGAATGCACTTTTGCGCATGTTTTTTTACATGTATGTTTGTGCATGTCCATTTGAGCGAGTGTGTTTGTGCATGTTTGTTGATTTGTATTAATGTCCTAGGATTGTAGTTTGTGTTTTCATGATCCTTTTTGCGAATGCAGTTTTGCGTGAGTAATTTTGTGCATGATTTTGTACTTTTACTTATGTGCGTATCTTTTGTGCGAGTGTTTTTGTGCACGTTTCTTGATGCGCATTCGTGTCCTCGAACTGTAGCGGGTATTTTCATGATCGCTGTTGGAATCCAATTTTGACCATGTTCGAGTCCGAATTTGGAAATTTGACATTAGACAGGAATTGTAGCCAGCTGAAATAGCTTTCTAATGCCGCCGGAACCAGTCGATTTGGATTCCGGATGAGAAAGTTATGGTCGACTTCGTGGACACTACCGAAGATGTTGAGGGATCCTCTCTTCTATTTTGATTTTATTTTCCTAATTGCAACTCTTTTCTTACTCTTTGATCATTTTTATCTTCATGGACACCTAATTATCAATTTGTACCTATAGAATACTAAATCCACCAATGAAAACAGAAATATAAATTAATTCTTACAAAAATCGACGTAAACGTAAACGTTGAGTGTTATTTCTACACTCCACTGTATCTTTTGTCTCTTGTGTTTTTGCTGTTGTTTGGTTATCCGTATTATAGTCCTAGCGTTGTACTTCGTGTTTTTAAGAACGTTGTTGTGAATGCACTTTTGCGCATGTTTTTTTACATGTATGTTTGTGCATGTCCATTTGAGCGAGTGTGTTTGTGCATGTTTGTTGATTTGTATTAATGTCCTAGGATTGTAGTTTGTGTTTTCATGATCCTTTTTGCGAATGCAGGTTTGCGTGAGTAATTTTGTGCATGATTTTGTACTTTTACTTATGTGCGTATCTTTTGTAGCGAGTGTTTTAGTGCACGTTTCTTGATGCGCATTCGTGTCCTCGAACTGTAGCGGGTTTTTTCATGATCGCTGTTGGAATCCAATTTTGACCATGTTCGAGTCCGAATTTGAAAATTTGACATTAGACAGGAATTGTAGCCAGCTGAAATAACTTTCTAATGACGCCGTAACCAGTCGATTTGGATTCCGGATGAGAAAGTTATGCTCGACTTCGTGGACACTACCGAAGATGTTGAGGGATCCTCTCTTCTATTTTGATTTTATTTTCCTAATTGCAACTCTTTCTTACTCTTTGATCATTGTTGCTTCATGGACACCTAATTATCAATTTGTACCTATAGAATACTAAATCCACCAATTAAAACAGAAATATAAATAAATCCATAAAGAAATCGACGTAAACGTAAACGTTGAGTGTTATTTCTACACTCCACTGTATCTTTTGTATCTTGTGTTTTTGCTGTTGTTTGGTTATGCGTATTAAAGTCCTAGTGTTGTACTTCGTGTTTTGAAGAACGTTGTTGCGAATGCACTTTTGCGCATGTTTTTTTACATGTATGTTTGTGCATGTCCATTTGAGCGAGTGTGTTTGTGCATGTTTGTTGATTTGTATTAATGTCCTAGGATTGTAGTTTGTGTTTTCATGATCCTTTTTGCGAATGCAGTTTTGCGTGAGTAATTTTGTGCATGATTTTGTACTTTTACTTATGTGCGTATCTTTTGTAGCGAGTGTTTTTGTTCACGTTTCTTGATGCGCATTCGTGTCCTCGAACTGTAGCGGGTATTTTCATGATCGCTGTTGGAATCCAATTTTGACCATGTTCGAGTCCGAATTTGGAAATTTGACATTACACGGGAATTGTAGCCAGCTGAAATAGCTTTCTAATGCCGCCGGAACCAGTCGATTTGGATTCCGGATGAGAAAGTTATGCTCGACTTCGTGGACACTACCGAAAAACTGACCGGGTGGTTCGTCGAAACTCAATTTTTCCTAGAAACTCACTCACAGCAATCGTTTAAAGCAGAACAAAAAACAGAAATAAAAACGTATTTCTATTTCTCTATTTCTAAGGGGGTCGAATCGATCCTTTTGATAAACAAACCAACCTTTCGTCATTAATCTTCGGAGGGAAATTCCATATGAATTTTAATTTTCCTTGTCCAAATCTTGTCCACAATCAGGGGGTTAAGTTAGCGATATTCCTTTTCTTATTTCGACCCGGACGTTTTCGGGATGCCGCTAATAACCAACGAATGGCAAGGCGCGATCATGACAAGACTCGAGGAAGAAAGAGTGCGTAATAGCTCACTGATCGAGCGCTCTTGCGCCGAAGATGAACGGGGCTAAGCGATCTGCCGAAGCTGTGGGATGTAAAAATACATCGGTAGGGGAGCGTTCCGCCTTAGAGGGAAGCCCCCGCGCGAGCGGTGGTGGACGAAGCGGAAGCGTTGCGTATTAAAGTCCTAGTGTTGTACTTCGTGTTTTTAAGAACGTTGTTGCGAATGCACTTTTGCGCATGTTTTTTTACATGTATGCTTATGCAAGTCCATTTGAGCGAGTGTGTTTGTGCATGTTTGTTGATTTGTATTAATGTCCTAGGATTGTAGTTTGTGTTTTCATGATCCGTTTTGCGAATGCAGTTTTGCGTGAGTAATTTTGTGCATGATTTTGTACTTTTACTTATGTGCGTATCTTTTGTAGCGAGTGTTTTTGTGCACGTTTCTTGATGCGCATTCGTGTCCTCGAACTGTAGCGGCTATTTCATGATCGCTGTTGGAATCCAATTTTGACCATGTTCGAGTCCGAATTTGGAAATTTGACATTAGACAGAAATTGTTGCCAGCTGAAGTAGCTTTCTAATGCCGCCGGAACCAGTCGATTTGGAGTCCGGATGAGAAAGTTATGATCGACTTCGTGGACGCTACCGAAGCTGTTAAGGGATCCTCTCTTCTATTTTGATTATTTTCCTAATTGCAACTCTTTTCTTACTCTTTGATCATTTTTGCGTCATGGACACCTAATTATCAATTTTTACCTATAGAATATTAAATCCACCAATTAAAACAGAAATATAAATTAATCCATAAAAAAATCCACGTAAACGTAAACGTTGAGTGTTATTTCTACACTCCACTGTATCTTTTGTATCTTATTTTTTTTGCTGTTGTTTGGTTATGCGTATTAAAGTCCTAGTGTTGTACTTCGTGTTTTTAAGAACGTTGTTGCGAATGCACTTTTGCGCATGTTTTTTTACATGTATGCTTGTGCATGTCCATTTGAGCTAGTGTGTTTGTGCATGTTTGTTGATTTGTATTAATGTCCTAGGATTGTAGTTTGTGTTTTCATGATCCGTTTTGCGAATGCAGTTTTGCGTGAGTAATTTTGTGCATGATTTTGTACTTTTACTTATGTGCGTATCTTTTGTAGCGAGTGTTTTTGTGCACGTTTCTTGATGCGCATTCGTGTCCTCGAACTGTAGCGGGTATTTTCATGATCGCTGTTGGAATCCAATTTTTACCATGTTCGAGTCCGAATTTGGAAATTTGACATTAGACAGGAATTGTTGCCAGCTGAAGTAGCTTTCTAATGCCGCCGGAACCAGTCGATTTGGAGTCCGGATGAGAAAGTTATGCTCGACTTCGTGGACGCTACCGAAGCTGTTAAGGGATCCTCTCTTCTATTTTGATTATTTTCCTAATTGCAACTCACTAGGCCAAAATGCAAAACTGGCGACGTTTTTTTTCGCGACGGTTATGTTTTCGTCGCACGTTTGCGACGTTCCTGTGCTTAAATCGTCGCTATCAAGTTTTAATTTAAAACCCTAGCGACGATTCCGGATAAGCGTCGCTAGCAAGCGACGAAAAGAATACAAACGTCGCCAATACGGAAAAAAAAAATAAAAATATTTTTTTTGGCGACGAAAATAGTTTTTCGTCGCTACGTTACATATTTTGTGATTTTATATTTCAGATGTTGCGACGTAACAGGCGGAATAGTCGCAAATATTATTTAAAAAAAAAAAATAATATACGTTGCGACGTTTGTTCATAAACGTCGCTAGGAGTTGCCATTTATTTGTAATTTATTTATATGTTGCGACGGAAAGGTACAAACGTCGCCAATGTTTTAGTAATTTTATTTTTTTTTTATATCCCGGCGACGGATTTACAAAATCGTCGCACGAGATGTGCTCAAAATTTTTTTTTCGAATTTAGTAGCGACGGATTCTTTAATTCGTCGCTAGTTTTGGGATATGTTGGAGACGAAAATAGGAAACGTCGCAAAGATTGACTTATTACTCAATCAGGCCCTAATTAGATCTATTTCCTCCCGGCCTTCTCTCTCAAACTCTCCCCCTCTCCATCTCCTCCGATCTGCCCTCGCCGTTGCCGTCGCCGACCGCCGCCCACCGCCGCCGTCTGCTGCTGAGCCGTCGCCGACATCCGCCCGCCCGCCGCCGCCGTATGCTGCTCACCCGTCGCCGACATCCGTTCGCCCGCCGTCATCCAGCCGTTGCCCCCAATCTCCGCTGCCGATCCTTTGCCGTCGCAGCCGTCCGCCGCCAGCCCTCCGCCGTTGCCGACAGCCCTCCGCCGTCCGCCGCCAGCCCTCTGCCGCTACTCCTCCTATTTCAAGGTAATTTTATGTTTTTTTAAATGTTTGTTTGTTTATGTTCAAAATTACGTGGGTGTTCGATTATCGATCTATTTTTAGGTTTTTTGTCGGAATTATGTGTTTGTTTGTTTTATGTTGATTTGATGAGCATTGATGCGTTGAGGGAAACCGGACCATCTATTAGTGAGGAAGGAGAGACAGAGCCGTATAACGGGACAGCAACTCCTGAACAACTTCTCATTTCGGTAAGTAAAGTGTAATTATATTCTTCAATCGGTAGTATGTTTAGATGTGTGGCTATGGATTTTTTTTTTTGAGTAAATATGGTTTTGGTTATGTTTAGATGTGTGGCTATGGATATTCTTTATATGTTTAGATGTGTGGCTATGGATATTTTTTTTTTTTAATATGTCAAGTTGTTGTTGTGTACTGGTAAGGATTTTTTTTGGGTATGCTCGTATTTAGATGTTATGCTGTCGAATTTTTTGCTAAACTTTTGTACATAATCATTTTCAGGCTGATTTGGAGCGAGTTTATGACGAGACCATGCGTGATGGAAGTGACGAAAGCACGGCCAACTCGACTGCAATTGAAAAGGTTTTGGGAAAGAGTAAAGGCCTTGGAATTAAAAGTTCAAGCACAAGGATTGGAAAGTCGAGATTTTCTTCGACTCCATCAGACGTGGAGATTCAACTGGAGATTCAAATGAAGGCAATGCAAGAACAAATGCAAATGAAAGACGAACAAGTGAATCGATTGGAACAACAATTGAACGAAAACCGAGAAACAAATAAAGTTAAAGATGAAAAAGTTGATCGATTAGAACAGCAATTGCAGGAAACCCGAGCTCTTTTGAACAACTTGCTCGAGCGTTTTAATGGTGGAGTATAAAAACGAGATGAAATTAGTGTGCCTCTTGAACTAATACATTTATGGTTTCAAGTTTTTATGTAATTTTTGAATTGATGTTCGTGTTGTATTTTGATATTTAATTGGTAATCGTGGTTTTTAATATTTTTGAGTAAATATGGTTTTGGTTTTTTTATTTTTATTTTTTTTAACAGGGGATTTTATTTGTAATAAAAAATAATTAAAATAAATAAATTAATCAAAAAAAAAAAACGTTTGCGACGAAATCTAATTCAGTTTTCGTCGCCAAAAAAATAGAACCGGGCGACGAAACAACTATTTCGTCGCCCACAGATTCGGTGAACTTGCGACGAATTAAACAAAATTCGTAGCAAATACATGCGACGATATTAGTTTTCAGTCGCTAACAATAAAAAAATAATTTTTTTCAGAAAATACGGTTTTTGCGACGAATGGGTGGTTTCGTCGCCAATATTTGCGTCGGAATTGGATTTTCGTCGCTGACTTTGCGACGGGGCATTACGCGACGAATTTTTAATGATTTGGCGACGAAATTAAATCGTCGCTAAAGGCGAAAAAACGTCGCTACGTGACGAATTTCGTCGCGAAATTTCGTCGCCAGTGTTGCATTTTGGCCTAGTGACTCTTTTCTTACTCTTTGATCATTTTTGCTTCATGGACACCTAATTATCAATTTTTACCTATAGAATATTAAATCCACCAATTAAAACAGAAATATAAATTAATCCATAAAAAAATCCACGTAAACGTAAACGTTGAGTGTTATTTCTACACTCCACTGTATCTTTTGTATCTTTTTTTTTTTGCTGTTGTTTGGTTATGCGTATTAAAGTCCTAGTGTTGTACTTCGTGTTTTTAAGAACGTTGTTGCGAATGCACTTTTGCGCATGTTTTTTTACATGTATGTTTGTGCATGTCCATTTGAGCGAGTGTGTTTGTGCATGTTTGTTGATTTGTATTAATGTCCTAGGATTGTAGTTTGTGTTTTCATGATCATTTTTGCGAATGCAGTTTTGCGTGAGTAATTTTGTGCATGATTTTGTACTTTTACTTATGTGCGTATCTTTTGTAGCAAGTGTTTTTGTGCACGTTTCTTCATGCGTATTCGTGTCCTCGAACTGTAGCGGGTATTTTCATGATCGCTGTTGGAATCCAATTTTGACCATGTTCGAGTCCGAATTTGGAAATTTGACATTAGACAGGAATTGTAGCCAGCTGAAGTTGCTTTCTAAAGCCGCCGGAATCAGTCGATTTGGAGTCCGGATGAGAAAGTTATGCTCGACTTCGTGGACGCTACCGAAGATGTTGAGGGATCCTCTCTTCTATTTTGATTTTATTTCCCTAATTGCAACTCTTTTCTTACTCTTTGATCTTTTTTGTTTCATGGACACCTAATTATCAATTTGTACCTATAGAATACTAAATCCACCAATTAAAACAGAAATATAAATTAATCCTTTAAAAAATCTATTTTGATTTTATTTTCCTAATTGCAACTCTTTTCTTACTCTTTGATCATTTTTATCTTCATGGACACCTAATTATCAATTTCTACCTATAGAATACTAAATCCACCAATGAAAACAGAAATATAAATTAATTCATACAAAAATCGACGTAAACGTAAACGTTGACTGTTATTTCTACACTCCACTGTATCTTTTGTATCTTGTGTTTTTGCTGTTGTTTGGTTATCCGTATTAAAGTCCTAGCGTTGTACTTCGTGTTCTTAAGAACGTTGTTGTGAATGCACTTTTGCGCATGTTTTTTTACATGTATGTTTGTGCAAGTCCATTTGAGCGAGTGTGTTTGTGCATGTTTGTTGATTTGTTTTAATGTCCTAGGATTGTAGTTTGTGTTTTCATGATCCTTTTTGCGAATGCAGTTTTGCGTGAGTAATTTTGTGCATGATTTTGTACTTTTACTTATGTGCGTATCTTTTGTAGCGAGTGTTTTTGTGCACGTTTCTTGATGCGGATTCGTGTCCTCAAACTGTAGCGGGTATTTTCATGATCGCTGTTGGAATCCAATTTTGACCATGTTCGAGTCCGAATTTGGAAATTTGACATTAGACAGGAATTGTAGCCAGCTGAAATAGCTTTCTAATGCCGCCGGAACCAGTCGATTTGGATTCCGGATGAGAAAGTTACGCTCGACTTCGTGGACACTACCGAAGATGTTGAGGGATCCTCTCTTCTATTTTGATTTTATTTTCCTAATTGCAACTCTTTCTTACTCTTTGATCATTGTTGCTTCATGGACACCTAATTATCAATTTGTACCCATAGAATACTAAATCCACCAATTAAAAAAAATATAAATTAATCCATAAAGAAATCCACGTAAACGTAAACGTTGAGTGTTATTTCTACACTCCACTGTATCTTTTGTATCTTGTGTTTTTGCTGTTGTTTGGTTATGCTTATTAAAGTCCTAGTGTTGTACTTCGTGTTTTTAAGAACGTTGTTGCGAATGCACTTTTGCGCATGTTTTTTTACATGTATGTTTGTGCATGTCCATTTGAGCGAGTGTGTTTGTGCATGTTTGTTGATTTGTATTAATGTCCTAGGATTGTAGTTTGTGTTTTCATGATCCTTTTTGCGAATGCAGTTTTGCGTGAGTAATGTTGTGCATGATTTTGTACTTTTACTTATGTGCGTATCTTTTGTAGCGAGTGTTTTTGTGCACGTTTCTTGATGCGCATTCGTGTCCTCGAACTGTAGCGGGTATTTTCATGATCGAAGTTGGAATACAATTTTGACCATGTTCGAGTCCGAATTTGGAAATTTGACATTAGACAGGAATCGTAGCCAGCTGAAATATCTTTCTAATGCCGCGGAACCAGTCGATTTGGATTCCGGATGAGAAAGTTACGCTCGACTTCGTGGACACTACCGAAGATGTTGAGGGATCCTCTCTTCTATTTTGATTTTATTTTCCTAATTGCAACTCTTTCTTACTCTTTGATCATTTTTATCTTCATGGACACCTAATTATCAATTTGTACCTATAGAATACTAAATCCACCAATGAAAACAGAAATATAAATTAATTCATACAAAAATCGACGTAAACGTAAACGTTGAGTGTTATTTCTACACTCCACTGTATCTTTTGTATCTTGTGTTTTTGCTGTTGTTTGGTTATCCGTATTATAGTCCTAGCGTTGTACTTCGTGTTTTTAAGAACGTTGTTGTGAATGCACTTTTGCGCATGTTTTTTACATGTATGTTTGTGCATGTCCATTTGAGCGGGTGTGTTTGTGCATGTTTGTTGATTTGTATTAATGTCCTAGGATTGTAGTTTGTGTTTTCATGATCCTTTTTGCGAATGCAGTTTTGCGTGAGTAATTTTGTGCATGATTTTGTACTTTTACTTATGTGCGTATCTTTTGTAGCGAGTGTTTTAGTGCACGTTTCTTGATGCGCATTCGTGTCCTCGAACTGTAGCGGGTATTTTCATGATCGCTGTTGGAATCCAATTTTGACCATGTTCGAGTTCGAATTTGGAAATTTGACATTAGACAGGAATTGTAGCCAGCTGAAATAACTTTCTAATGCCGCCGTAACCAGTCGGTTTGGATTCTGGATGAGAAAGTTATGCTCGACTTCGTGGACACTACCGAAGATGTTGAGGGATCCTCTCTTCTATTTTGATTTTATTTTCCTAATTGAAACTCTTTCTTACTCTTTGATCATTGTTGCTTCATGGACATCTAATTATCAATTTGTACGTATAGAATACTAAATCCACCAATTAAAACAGAAATATAAATAAATCCATAAAGAAATCGACGTAAACGTAAACGTTGAGTGTTATTTCTACACTCCACTGTATCTTTTCTATCTTGTGTTTTTGCTGTTGTTTGGTTATGCGTATTAAAGTCCTAGTGTTGTACTTCGTGTTTTTAAGAACGTTGTTGTGAATGCACTTTTGCGCATGTTTTTTTACATGTATGTTTGTGCATGTCCATTTGAGCGAGTGTGTTTGTGCATGTTTGTTGATTTGTATTAATGTCCTAGGATTGTAGTTTGTGTTTTCATGATCCTTTTTGCGAATGCAGTTTTGCGTGAGTATTTTTGTGCATGATTTTTTACATTTACTTATGTGCGTATCTTTTGTAGCGAGTGTTTTTGTGCACGTTTCTTGATGCGCATTCGTGTCCTCGAACTGTAGCGGGTATTTTCATGATCGCATATAGAAAACACCTATGCCCATGTTCGAGTCCGAATTTGGAAATTTGACATTAGACAGGAATGGTAGCCAGCTGAAATAGCTTTCTAAGGAGGCCGGAACAAGTCGATTTGGATTCCGGATGAGAAAGTTATGCTCGACTTCGTGGACACTACCGAAGATGTTGAGGGATCCTCTCTTCTATTTAGATTTTATTTTTCTAATGGCAACTCTTTCTTACTCTTGGATCATTGTTGCATCATGGACATCCTAATTATCAACTGGATCCTATAGAATCTCTAAATCCCCACATAAAAAAATATATCAACT